CCAGCAAAATGCTTTCTAGAACGCCCGATAAAGGCTATCATAGAAGTTATCTCATCCGTCTTCCTGTATTTTCCTTCTTATATCTAGAGAACATCCGCTCCTTGTAATCTAACGTGCACAGGTGCGCATTAGCTTATCCAGCGGACAAAGCTAGCGCGTGTGCCCATTAACCAAATTCAATTACTGAAATAGGGTTCGTCAAAATCTTGTCAAAACTCAAACATGGTTTAATCATCAGACGAATGTTTAGTGAAATACTAACTCTGCTAACAAGACAGAAGGTTAAGGTCAAATATATGCTAGATTACTGGTATTACGTTGTGATCTCGTATCTCGTTTTCAGTTAACGCACAAGTATGAGACAAGAAAATGTATTTGATTATATATTAGAAATCTCAAACATTTTGGGTTTTCTCTGAAGCTCTTCAATTAGAGGAATATTGATAGAAAACATATCAGATTTCATATTTCAATTAATCCTATAGTACAAAAGTAACTCAATATATAATTTATATTATTCGCATGAAATGGAAATATGTCTAGTTAAGCTGTAGGTATATTGAAATTAAAGCACGTGTCAAATAGGTATATCATCAGTTTATGTCATTAAAAATATTCTCAGGCCTCTGGCTATTTTTCTAAAGGAAAAAATGCATTTATAAAAGGTTCAAAAAAGCTCATTTGTTCAATTGCAATATAAAACTGCAATGATAAAACACAAGAAGCAAAAGTAAATTAGAGGGTTTTTGGTAAAATCCCAGAAATTCGGAGTTCCCTTGAAAAGTAGGTGGAGGAGCTGAACCTATATAGGTTTCTATAAAGAGTAAGAAGAGCTTAACTTATCTAGGTTCCCATAAAGAGTTGGAGGAGGAGCTGAACCTCTCTGGGTTCCCATGCAGAGTAGGAGGAGAATCTGAACCTATACGAGTTCCCTTAAAGAGTGAAGTAGGAGTAGATGAACCTATCACGGTTCTCATGCAAAGTAGGAAGAGAAGCTGAACCTATATGAGTTCCTTTGAAGAGTAAAGGAGGAGGAACTGCACCTATCACGGTTCCCATGAAGAGTAAAGGAGAAGGAGCTGAACCTATATGGGTTCTTTTAAAGAGTAGGAGGAGCTAAAACTATTTGGGTTCCCATGAAGAGTAGTAGGAGGAGCTGCACCTATATGGGTTCCTATAAAGAGTAGTAGGAGGAGCTGAACCTATATGGGTTCCCATGTAGAATTAGGAGGAGGAGCTGAACCTATATGAGTTCCCTTGTAAAGAAAAGAAGGAGGATCTGAACCTATCTGGTTTACCATGAAGAATAGGAGGCGCTAAAACTATCTGGGTTCCGGGTTCCCATTAAGAGTAAAGGAGGAGCCGAACCTATCTGGGTTCCATGAAGAGTAAAGCAGCCTATCTGGGTGCCCATGAAGAGTAGGAGGAGCTGAAAGTATCTGGGTTCCCATGAAGAGTATAGAGGAGTTGAAACTATCTGGGTTCCCATGAAGAGTAGGAGGAGAGGAGCTGAACCTATCTGGGTTCCCATGAAGAGTAGAAGGAGCTGAAAGTATCTGGGTTCCCATGAAGAGTGTAGAGGAGTTGAAACTATCTGGGTTCCCATGAAGAGTAGGAGGAGCTGAACCTGGAGATAATCCTTAACCTCGAGCTAGTGGTATAAGAGTATAAAAACTAGAAGAATAGAAGGGATTAGAACATGGGGAGTGACATCTTTATTCTTACGTGAAGGTCTTTATCCAGATAGATATATAGCTAGATAATAGATAGAGAAAGATAGATAAATATATAGATTATTGATAGAGAGACAAATAGATAGATACATAGATTATGCATGGATCGAGAGACAGATAGATATATAGATTATAGATAGATTTATCGATTGATAGATAGATAGATAGATAAACTCTATAGAGAGGTAGACTAGATATATCGATAGAATTAAGCTAAAAATTGCAGCATGCTATACAATTTAAGCTAAAAATTGCAGCATGCTATACAATTCAAGCTGAAAATTGCAGCATGCTATACAATTTAAGCTGAAAATTGCAGCATGCTATACAATTTAAGCTTAAAATTGCAGCATGTTGTACAATTTAAGCTTTTTAATACTACCATTTCGAATCTTTACTCTTTAGCTATAAAAGGATAAGTGTTTTAATTGTGTTTTCATATTATTCTAATTTTAACTTAATTTTTTGTGATTCTAGTAATTTTATTATGATAAAACGTATAAGAAGTAGATTTACATTGTGGTCAACTTATTTGTTCAGCAAGGCTGCTGTCTGTAAGATAAAGAGTATCCATTTGACACTCCTCCAGCAAAATCTAAAAAATTACATAATCAAATATTTTGGTTTTTTATGTATATTTTTATGTATATTTTGAAGATAATAAATTTAGATAAGTCTGTATGATAACGAAATGTAAAAACAGGTTTATAAATATACCAAATTCTAATTTACAAGCTGAATAAATCTACCAAATTCTAATTTACAAGCTGAATAAATCTACCAAATTCTAATATACAAGCTGAATAAATCTACCAAATTCTAATTTACAAGCTTAATACATCTACCAAATTCTAATTTACAAGCTAAATAAATCTACCAAGTTCTAATTTACAAGCTGAATAAATCTACAAAATTCTAATTTACAAGCTGATAAATCTACCAAATTATAATTTACAAGCTGAATAAATCTTACAAATTCTAATTTACAAGCTGAATAAATCTACCAAATTCTAATCTACAAGCTGAATAAATCTAGCAAATTCGAATTTACAAGCTGAATAAATCTACCAAATGGTATTTTTAAAGTTCTAATCTAATAGTTTACCAAAGTTGATTTTACAGAAAACTTTTTAGTTGTGAATCTCAGGATCAAGCTTTGATCTCAATTTTATACAGACATGGGGATTAATTTAATTCTTCTTCGATATCCCGTGGTTGTCATACTCTGCTGGGATAACTTTAAACGAGGGATCAAGCATTGATCCTCCGATTTAAAGTGCCCAAATTAGATATTAAGATTAATGATTTTCTGACTGAATTCTAATTGACCAAATCAAATAAATTCTAATAATTTACCTTGCATAGCCGATGCTGTGGTAAATGTTGCCAGGTCGAAGGGAAGAGTTGAACCTAAAATATAAAAAATTAATTAATTATTTTTTGAAAAGAATTTGTTGTAGTTCGTAAACAGGATAGCCACTACAGATTCTTTTTTAGGAAAAATAAGAAATATATGAAAATATATATTTTCTAGTCTCTTTTAAATGTTAAAGGTAAAAATTATAAATCTTGAAAGGGAGATTCTGACGAATAATATTAAAAATATGAATTGCTCGCTACAATTTTTATTTGTATTCAATCTAAAACCATATGTACTCCGTTTGAAAATCCCCGTTTATTTAGGATATTCCGAAATTTTCAGAAATTACGATAAAAAAAAGGAAATTGCCACCTGCAAGTTGTATCTTGGTATTAATAAAAGTAAAAATCTTCGCTTAGATAAATTCTAAAAGTTAATAAGATACAAAAATATCGTTTTATTAAAAAATAAGATAAGCAATTTACTTGTTATAGTGCTTGGGTCGGTGGAAGCTTGAACCCCAAGATTTTCTCCACAAAATTCCTAAATATTCAAAATACTTTTTGTTGACTTAAAATTTTGTTAATATAAAATGATAAAGAAAATGAAGAAAATGATAAAAAAAATTTATTTTAAAGTACAAAGTTTAAAGCAGTTTTTCATTATTTATTTTTAAACACTTTTTTAGAGAATAATTTTTGATATAAAATAACCTGGATAGGGTTGCCAGTTGCAGGTCCTAATATTCCAGATGGGATCTGGACATACGAGTTGATACACGAACCTTTTAGAATTGTAACAACAATTATAAAAGTAATGAAAATAGTAATATTATAATAAAAGTTATTAGTTTTACTCAAATCGTCTCAACTGACGATTTTACCGAATCTGCTGAAGCAAGGTTGGTTGTTTTGATTTGATTTCTTCTATTTGGAAAAGGTGGATTTAATTTAAAACGTTATGAGGACAATTACCTATTAATTCAAAACTAGTTTGGGAAATGGGAATACAGCTTTGTCTGGAGTTTTCCATTTAAAAGAAAATCCACTCATTTTAAAAATTTTTTTTACTTTTAAACCAAGCAAAGAACATTCTTGTGCCGAGTTCCCAAATCAAAATTTGAGGAAAATTGGTCCTTGGAGTCATGGAAACAAAACAAAACAACCAATCAAACAAATTATTACTTTTATAGATAGAGGCAGATTGTGTTTAATAATTTTTGTTAGACCATATTGAAGGTCAGAATAATTTGTTTGTTTCTTTAATTGTATAGGTTACCTATCCTATTTTCAGCTGTACCAGCAGCAGGGGCATTCGTCAGATCAAAAGCATCTTAATAATTTAATCAGTTAATTAACTCGAAACAATAATGTTTTAACAAGGAAAGTCATACACAGTAATTTGTTAATATAGACTATTTAAATGGTAGAATTTTGACAATGGTTGAACAAAAATCCCTCTAATTTGCAAATTAATGATTTATTTGCGAACAATATCTTTAACTTTCCAACAAATCTCACGCATAACTTATATTAGATATTATCTTATTAATTTGAAACATAAATTTTAATTTTCTAAATAAACTCTTTTATTCGAAAAAAAACTTTCTAAGTGATCTAACATTTTCCAAAAATTTAAATTTTTAGTACCTGGACATTTTCTGTTTAATTTACTAACAATCTCATTTTAATTATTTTAATTTTCAATTTGTAAATGTTTGAACCTGCTGGGGAGTTTAGAGTTGTTTGATCCCAGACTATGCTGCAGTATCCTAGACAGATATAAAAATTAGCCGACTCGGTTCGATTGGCCTATTTTTGTCTAAAATACAACTATAAATTTCTTTCTTTCTTTTCCAGATCATTAAATAAGCCATTTAATGATCACATTCAAGGTAGAGGATTTAGTTTAAACTTAATAACGTCATATTTGTAAAGCTTTAAGTCGTCTTTACAGTCTCTACCTTTGTGGGTAAGTCTCTATGATTGAAATAGGACCGAGAGTGGTAAATGTCACAGCTCCAACTTTTAAAGAAAAAAAATGGTATCTACAACGTTTTGGTAAGGTACCAAACAAATTTTAAAAAAACTGGTTGTATTGATGTAAAAAATATATTCTAAAATTTATTTGTTGGTAACCTTCCATGATTAAACTTGTCCAATGTATAAAGTTCATTATCTACCTGTCTCCTGTCTGATACAGGATTTATAGTTCTGAGAACCTAGAAGAGTTGACCCAGCGAACCCATAGCTGGTCACAGTACCTTGAGTAGGTTAGGTAAGGTAGAGGCAGCTTAGGGACCTCTAGTTCAATTCTCATAGATGGAACTCAATTGTATCGAGTTAAATGCTTCATCTCGATATTTTGTTAATCTGCAGATTAATCTAATCTTTGTTCGATATCTAGTGAAAAGCATACCAAGAATACTTAAAATTAAAAGATTACGCATTGATCATCAAATTGTAAGTGTCTGCAGTGGATATCGAGATAATTCGGGATAATGCGACTAATAAGGAAACGAAACTTTTGGTGTGGAATGAGCTTAAGGCATTCTCCCATGTACGTAGATATTGATAAATTAAATACAAAAAATTTCAAATTTAAAAAATAATTAAATCTGAAGCTGATTTAAATTTAAAAAGTGATTAAAAATGGTAAACCTGTAGTTCCCGTAAAGTACTTTACACAATGGTTTGGAGCCCTGAAACATGTAGGGTGTTAAACATGGAAATTTCTGTTAAGAAGAAGTATTATAAATGTCATAATAAAGTGATGTCCTACTGAAGTAAAGGACTGTTCTATTGTTCGTCAAAACTATATTATCTGTAATATTTCTGCAGTAAGATAAACTGTACTATGCTTGTGTACAGGAATTTTCTCCATTAACCCGATCCCGGATGGACTATTTCTTGTATAGCATAGGCTGGGGGAAGGGGTGTCTTCCACCCCCCCCCCACTATGATTCTTCCCAAGAGTTGAGATAGGGGAGTTTGATACATGTTGTTAGTCCAACTTTTTAAGGCCTGCTTATTAAAAAATAAGACCTCTAACTTTCATGGTTAAGGTGCAGGAGAGGATTTTTAAAAAGTTCAAAAATTGCATCGGAAAAACGTTGAAAATCAATTATTTTTTAATTTTGACAAGTATTATCACGTAACACATGTTACGTTATTATATCCATTTTTCGAGGGCTTTTCAAATATACAAATGTTAGCCCTGTATAGCTTAATAAAAACTTTTTATAAACCATTGCTGATTTTTTTTAAACACCGGCCCGCCGTTTGACTGTCCTCAAACCTACCCAATGCATATTTTTTCACAACTATAGTTAGAAAAGTAAAGAAGTTTAAGTGTTCTGATGTAAGCCGTTTAGTTATTTAGAAAAAAACACAGAGGGGGGGTGGTGGTTGGAAAATATCCCCATCCCATCCGTGATACATGGTGTTAAGTTTATGCATTCGAATTTATCATTATAAAATTGTTCGCGTATAATATGTTGTAAATCAACTGTTCACAATAAGGTAACATGATTTTTTTTTTTTTTGCCTATTTTGTAATTTCAATATTTAATCGCTCCATCAGATGTAAATGGATGATATTTAGATTTGTGGCTGGTTTGCACAAATCAACAGTGGATGGTTGGCTCAATTTCAAAATTGCTGCTGTCTGTTTATGATGGAGACCTGTACGTGGCAGTGCACGGTATCTGAGATACCCTGATATTCCACTGATTGCTAGAAGTGCCGGATACAAAGAGTGCCAGGGATACACTATCAGTGCCAAGATTCCCAGTCTCAATGTACACTTAAACAAGATATAAAGGTTGAGAGGAAAGGATTTGTGTACACAAAGATCGGCCCTTAGAATAACAATACCCTGGTCAAAGGAGAATAAAAAAATGTCTTGGTGAATTATCAGCTACTATAAATCAAAACTTTTTCATTGTTAGGAAGCCATTCTATTTTAAAATATTATCTAACAAAAAGTAGTTTTAAAAATATGCCCTCAGAAAATAAAATATTGCTAAAATATGAGTCATCTTTTTTACGATAGTTCCAAGGAGTTAAAATAAAGTTGAAATCTTGTGACGTAAAAAATGATTTGTTCCTATTTTTTCATTTTTTTAAAATATTATTATTTAATTAATAGAGTAAACCCCTACTGTGTTCTCCAGTGTTGGTTCCACAAATCAGAGGAGGGTTTACGCCTGTCTCTCCTCGGACAGTTAGAGAATCAGATACCGTTGTACAACTAGATCCACAGCAGCCCTACACAGTGTACATGTAGTTAGTTGGATTATTATATATATATACCGCTGTACAACCAGATCCACAGCAGCCCTGCACAGTGTACATGTAGTTAGTTGAATTATTAAATATGTACAGTTGTACAACCAGATCCACAGCAGCCCTGCACAGTGTACATGCAGTTAGTCGGATTATTATATATATATACAGTTGTACAACCAGATCCACAGCAGCCCTACACAGTGTACATGTAGTTAGATGGATTATTAAATATGTGCAGTTGTACAACCAGATCCACATCAACCCTGTACACTGTACATGTAGTTAGTTGGATTATTATATTTGGACAGTTGTACAACCAGATCCACAGCAGCCCTGTACAGTGTACATGTAGTTATTTGGATTATTATATATGGACAGTTGTACAACCAGATCCACAATATTCCTGTACAGTGTTAGTGGGATTAATTGGATTATTATATATGTACAATTGTCCGACCAGATCCACAGCAGCCCTGTACAGCGTACATTTAATTAGTTGGATTATTAAATATGTGCAGTTGTACAACCAGATCCACATCAACCCTGTACACTGTACATGTAGTTAGTTGGATTATTATATTTGGACAGTTGTACAACCAGATCCACAGCAGCCCTGTACAGTGTACATGTAGTTATTTGGATTATAATATATGTACAGTTGTACAGCCAGATCCACAATAATTCTGTACAGTGTACATGTAGTTAATTGGATTATTAAATATGTTCAATTGTCCAACCAGATCCACAGCAGCCCTGTACACTGTACAGTGTACATGGAGTTAGTTGGATTATTTTGTATGTACAGTCGTACAACAAGATCCACAGCAGCTCTGTACAGTGCACATGTTATTATTTATATTAATATACATAGATTATAGATACATTGCAAAGTCGTAACACAATTTAAAAAGTAATGAATCAAAATTTTTTAATCTTTTTACGCGACATATATATGCCGTTGTACCAAAAGGTCCGAAGCAGCTCTGTGCATTGTAAAGTGCACATTTAATTAGTTGGATTATAATATATATACAGCTGTACAGCCAGATCCACAATAATCCTGTACAGTTTTCATGTGAATGTCCAACCAGATCCACAGCAGCCCTGTACAGCGAACATTTAATTAGTTGGATTATTAAATATGTACAGTTGTACAACCTGATCCACAGCAGCCCCATACACTGTACAGTGTACATGGAGTTAGTTGGATTATTTTGTATGTTCAGGCGTACAACAAGATCCACAGCAGCTCTTTACAGTGTACATGTTATTATTTATATTAATATACATGTAAATGCCTTGTACTGCATTGTAAATGTAATTAAATGCTTTATAATTACATTGCAAAGTCGTAAAACCATTTAAAAAGTAATGAATCAAAATTTTTTCATCTTTTTACGCGACATCAAATTTTCAGAAGCTTCTATAAAAAGATCGGTTGGAAATAAAAGATGAATGATTTAATTATTTAAGGGACAGAAGACGTAATTTCAAGTTACTTTCTATTTACAAATGTTTCTGCAGATAAAAGACGTAATCAGTCGAAAAGAATTAAAGGGTACCGGCTATGCTACCCTACAGATGAAGACAAATGAAGTAATATTTGCCATTAAGTTTACAGTCCCTTTAATAATAATGAATATATGTAGAAACACTACCTGAGGGTTTGTAGAGACACCTTGAACCAATGTTACAAAGTCTAATCGTAGTTGGCAAATATCATTCTGACATTTGTTTATTGTATATGTACAGGTCCCTAAACAAGTATATTGTATATGTACAGGTCCCTATAAATATCAGTGAATTCAAAATAAATTAGAAAAAGAGATATCAAATGTGAAATGAAAGTATGACATGATCGATGCATGATTGCTTGAATTATATGTCTATGAATGTGTGAAAAAGTAAACAAATTGCTAAATTGTCTTTTTTATTTTCAAATGCTATTTCAAGTTTAAGTGGCTGTAGTGTACTATTACGAGGCCCTCCTTTTATAAAGTGGCATGTCCGATTCCCAACCTTATTCTATTTAAGGGTACCGTTGTGAATCGTACATTCCTCTATAATTATGGGACATTTAGAATTACATGTCCCTTCAAACAGTAGGTAAAGTGTTATATTGAATATTCTCAGCAAGATCTTCTGAATTTACAGCTGAATAATGATAAAGTAGAACATTCGTCTTAAAAGTACTTCCTGTATCATATGTGGCTGTGTAACCACGGGTATTTCCTGCTGTGGTATATATGGATGGAAATCTAGGGTATTACCAACTGTGGTATATGTGGCTTTGTAACCAGGGTTATTTCCTGCTGTGGTAATATATGGATGGGAAGATAGGGTATTACCTGCTGTGGTATATATAGATGGAAAACCAGGATAGTATCTGCTGTGGTATATGTGGATGGGAAGCTAGGGTATTACCAACTGTGGTATATGTGGCTGTGTAACCAGAGTTATTACCTGTTGTGGTATGTGGATGGGAAACCAGGATAGTATCTGCTGTGGTGTATGTGGATGGGAAGCTAGGGTATTACCAACTGTGGTATATGTGGCTGTGAAACCGGAGTTATTACCTGTTGTGGTATGTGGATGGGAAACCAGGATATTACCTGGCGTGGCATATGTGGCTATGTAACCACGGGTAATACCTGCTGTGGTGTATGTGGATGGGAAGCCAGGGTTTGTGATATAAGTTATATTATTGGAAGACGAACTACCACAACTAGATATTGTAAATATACAACAAACACCAAAACCTAAAATTAAAGATGGTAAGGCTAAATTAATACAAGTTGGAATGATTGAAAATTGCAAAATCGGTGTTTAAATGAAAGAAAATGGTATACTGCACATTGATAGACGCTACTGACATATAAAAAAAACACTTTGAATGTCCCACGAGCTAAATAAGTCTTAGAAAAATTACACAAATACTTATAAAACTGTTCTAAGCATAATGAATGACAGACCTGCTGCACAGTTTCCACTAGAAGTCCCACCTTTAGACCTACACTCGTCGGTTGCAAAGCACATTCCTAAAATTTCAAAATATATATTTTGTACATGTATTGTACAGTGAACCAACCTGTTGGATATGTACTGGATGATGTTGTACAGGCAATGTTTCTGAATTGTACAATACTGAACAGAGGCAGCACTGTAATTATTAAACATTTTTAACAAAGGAATTGAGTTTTTGCAACTAAATTACATTTTCTAACCCCAATATCTTTGCAATCTGATGGTGTAAACCTTTGATATTTCAAACTTAGAAAATTTGATCTACCAGAATTAATAGTTTAAAATATCAAAGGTCTAGGAAAACGGGTTGCTAAGTTATAGGAATTAGAAAATTTGTTTTTATCGTTTTAATAAACGTAAAAACGTATAAACAGATCAGGTCCAATTTTTGTATTAGTTAGACCATATCGGAAAAGCTATGGCTGGTCAAATAAAAATGTTCATAAAAAGTTTCGTTTTTTTGGCGGTGCGGGGAAATCCGCTATTTAAAATGATAAAAGTCCGCGATATTTATCATTGTTATTTGTAGACAAGGTAAAATTAAGAAGTTAATATAATCATAAGAGACCTGGTTTTCTTTTATCTTATTAATTTTATTTTCTACCTTTTCCGGCTTTTTTAAAATCTATACTTTTGTTTTCATATTGAAAACAGTGGGTAGATATAAAAAAATTGAATAATGTTAAGATTAAAAACATCTTTCTGAAATGGAAATAAATAACTAGAAAACAAATTGCTGTATATTGTCTTTGTAACTGTATAAGTGAGACTAACTTTCTTGGTTTGATTTTAAATGCCCAGCTAACCATCTTATTTTTCCATCCATCTTCTATCTATCTACCTATATATCTATCTATCTAACTATCTACCTATCTATCTATATCTATCTATCTATCTATCTATATATATATCTATCTATCTATCTATCTATCTATCTATCTATCTATATATCTATCTATCTGCATATCATCCTAGCTATATGTATAGTGCGCTTCTGCGCTCCGTTTAACTGTATCTGTAGACGAGGGCAAACTAAATGTTTAAACTTAAAAATTTCGGTGGAAAAAAAATCTTTTTTTAATTTTATAGGAAGCAACAGTTTTTTTAACTTTAAAATTCTTTAATGATAAAAAGATAGATAGATAGAAATTTAGAAATATAGATAGATAGATTGTAGAAAACAGTTACTACAGCAGGAAATATGGTTTTGCTAATGAAGTGTTTAAAACCAAAACAGTTTAGTAGTTTAACATCGGACAGAAACCAAGTAGTTTAGATAAAAAATGGAGTTAAAGCTTTCTACAGTTATTTTAATAATTTTGACAGGTACTTTCTAGAAAAATCATTTTTTTACATGCATACAATGCATAATTTTTTCACAACTAGATTTAAGTCAAATCTTTAAAAAAATTTATAATATAAAAATATTTTTTATGTAAAAAATTAACAATATTAAAATATTCATAAAATAAAAAAGTTAATTATCTAAAAATAGTTATGATATAAAAAATTTATTATCTACAACATTGATAAGGATTTAAAAACTATCTAACGGTCACTGTATCTGAGCTAAATATTGTAAAAAAATTAGAGGAAATATTAATATGTTTTTAGGATGTTTCAGCAATCCAGTATCATCTCTTAATACTACTACACGAGAAACCAGAAGTAAGGATGTAAATATTAATAACGGTTCATTTAAATGGGATTTTTTTTTTAAGTTAAAAACTCAAACTTTGGTAAAAAATTGGTTTTTAACTAAATTTTACAAATAGTGAAAGATCGAGGGCTAGAAAGTTTAGATTCTTTCGTACAGATTTTTTGGGGATAATAATTGAGCAAAAACGTGGTGTTTTGGCATTTCAAGCGAAATTTTTGGAAAATTGATTTTTTCCTCGGCCACGTATGAATTTCCCTTGAAGGGTCTCGTTCATTTGTTGTACTGTCACGTTTTGCCTGGTAATCTGCACGTGTACTGTACAGCTCGCTCTAGCTGGTAAGAGTTAGGTCCGGTTCCTGACATGAACCGGACTTAACCGTGGCCTAATCCTAAAGTTGTATATTTTCAGATGCAGGGTTTGGTATTTTTTCTGTTGTCAGATTTCCAAACGATATTTGTGGATCCACAGCTAACTTTAATGGAACATGCTTTTCCGAATCGGAATGTACAACAAAAGGTAAACAAATGGATCTAAAAATCATTGCAATGGAGAATTTCATTTCAATTTCTGTTTCGGAGGAATCTTATATTGGTGTATGTTTCGGAGGGATCTAATATTGAAGAATGATTCGGAGGGATCTAATAGTGACAAATGGTTCGGAGGAATCAAATATTGATATATGTTTTGGAGGGATTTAATATATAAGTATGCTTTGGAGAGATCTAATATTGATGTATGTTTAGGAGGGATCTATTATTGATGTATGCTTTGAAGGGATCGAATATTGATGTATGCTCCGGAGGAATCTAATATTGATGTATGCTTCGGAGGAATCTAATATTGATGTATTTTTCGGACGGATCTAATATTGAAGAATGATTCGGAGGGATCTAATAGTGACGAATGGTTCGGAGGAATCAAATATTGATATATGTTTTGGAGGGATTTAATATATAAGTATGCTTTGGAGAGATCTAATATTGATGTATGTTTTGGAGGGATTTAATATATAAGTATGCTTTGGAGAGATCTAATATTGATGTATGCTCCGGAGGAATCTAATATTGATGTATGCTTCTGAGGAATCTAATATTGATGTATTTTTCGGACGGATCTAATATTGATGTATTCTTCGGAGGGATATCTTATTAGTGCACGTTTAGGGGGAATCCCATATTAATTTATGTTTCGGAGGAATCTCAGGAGATTCCTGCGAAACATGAATGTATTTTCGGAGGGATTTAATGTTGATATATATTTAGGAGGGATCTCATCTGGAACTTGTGCCTCCGGATTTGGCGTATGCTGTGTTTGTAAGTTTTTAAGACTTTTAATTCAAGTTTGTTTACAATTTTTAAGGTTTTTTGTTTATTTTTTTAAGGTTTTATGTAAAGCTCAAACATTCAAACAAAGGAACTGAGTTCTAGCCACAAATTCCGGTTTTCTAATCCCTATATCTTTGCAACAGAGTGTCTTAGAAATTCAGCCAGATTGAATAAACTAAGTTTGAAATATCAAAGGTTTACACCATCAATTAACAAAGATGTTAAAGAATATAGATTAAACAATTTGACTTTAATGCAAAAATTCAGTTCCTTCGACCAGGCCCTGTTGTTAATTAACTTTCATTTAAGAAAGAAAACGTACAGCGTCCACACATGAAAAATTATAGACAAAAATATGTTTTATCTTAACATTCATTATTATTATTTTTAGTAACATATTGAAAAAAGATTTTCTCTATGAAAACTATGTATTTATGAAAGTTAGCACACGGATTTAAATACTCGCATTGTTAAGATCTGTCTTTCTAGTAAAATGTGACGACTCATGATCCGGTTGATAGCTAAAAATGTTTTTCAAAAAGCCTTTTTTTGATTGGAAAAAAAAGTATACAAGTTTTTTTCTGTAGTTAATATGGCTTGTGGAAGTACAGTGGCTCAGAATATATCCTATCACTCTATCTCTAGCTTCAATTCTGCAAATCATGCAAATCCTTGCAAATATACAATTTGCCCGTGCGGTTCTAATATTTGCAAACTCAGGCTCGACTTTCAGGTAAAAGGAACTGTAAACGTAATTTAAAGTGAATCTCTATTTATAGATTGCCATGTCTGATTCCTTGTGGTTTCTTTTAAAATTGATTATTTCAATATAGTGGTTTCACTATTAAACGATAGAGGAAATTGTCAGAATTCAGCTTTTCAAACTAGAAAAACGACGATATTTTCCACATTATTGATCAGATAAAGTTCTCAAGCTCTCAAGGACAAATCTATTAGAATTTTGCCAATTACTTTTAAAAACCAAAGCTAGCAACAAGTGCAGCATAGTGCCTAAAGCCTACACTGTAAAGTGCTGCAGAAAAGCATAATTGAGTTATAGCGCGTAAAATCAAAGCACAAGGCGTTGCGACCCTCCAAAGTTGACCCTGTTTTAAAAATTGATTGAGACTTGTTATAAGCAGGCTGAATCTATGTAAGGTTTAAAGGGTACTGTTGTAAATATGGAGGGTTAATTTTTTCTAGACTCTACGGTCCCTTTATATTCAGGCTGAATCTATGTAAGGTTTAAAGGGTACTGTTGTAAATATGGAGGGTTAATTTTTTCTAGACTCTACGGTCCCTTTATATTCAGGCTGAATCTATGTAAGGTTTAAAGGGTACTGTTGTAAATATGGAGGGTTAATTTTTTCTAGACTCTACTGTCCCTTTATATTCAGGCTGAATCTATGTAAGGTTTAAAGGGTACTGTTGTAAATATGGAGGGTTAATTTTTTCTAGACTCTACGGTCCCTTCATAAGCGTCCACATAACTAGAAATTTTGGAAAATTAATATTTTTAGATCATTATTTACAGCTAAACAAATAATTTATTTGCAGAAAAAGGTGAAAAAATCAGTTTGTTAGAGATATTTTTATTAATAAAAGTAACTCTACTTTTCTAATCACCATATCTTTGCAAAATAATGTTTGATCAATTAATCTAAGTTTAAATATCTAAGTTTTACACCATCAGGTTGCAAAGATATCGTGATTAGAAAATTTACATTTGTAACGATTCCTTTCCAGGCCTTCTCGATAGCAGGGCCCCCAACAGTAACCTCATCAACTGCAACTGCCTCGAAGGGTCCAGCTGTTGGGGATTGTGATGTGGATTCTTTTACAGGAAATTAGAGAATATTTTAGAAATAAAACATGCTCTTAACGCAAAGAAAATAATTACTTCCATCAAAATCTAATTATATATTCCGTGTAGGTCAAACTGATTCAACAGTTTGCTCCTTTTTCCAGCAAGCTTTGACTTTTGATCACAATTTGGTCTATTAAATATTAAACATCATTTTTTTTATTTTTATCTTTTAGACTTTTTTTGTCGGCAAAATTATAATTAAGATTGTTGAATTTTTTACCACAGCGCAAATAAATTTAAATTAAAAAACCTAACGTATCCAGCTCCGGTGAACACATAGTTAGTTTTGAAGATGTTGCAAACCTTTGATATTTTAAACGTAGACTGTTTGATCAATGAAAAGGTTTACAGCATAAGATTTCAAAGATGTTATTGGGTAAAATGTTGCTACTGCTGCGTATATATTGAAAACGAAAAAAAACCTCACTATTATTTTAACGCTTCCATGGTTCTTTAATAAGCTGGGCTCTGGATGCGCTCCAATGTACGGAAAATGTCGTCTTTTCAGCATAGATAGATAGAATCCGCATATGACGTCACGCTCGCCTTCAGTGTCGTCATATGCAGATTTTATCTATCTATGCTAAGGAGACGACATTTTTCGTACATTGGAGCGCATCGAGAGTAACCCAGCCTATTAAAGAACCTTCCCTCAAACAAACTTGATTTGTAAAAAATTATGTTTATTTTATCAATTTGCTTATGTCTTGGTTATTTTCATGCAAAAGTGCTGACCAGTAAAACTAAATCTAGCGAAGGAACTATGAGAGATCTAATCGATAATTCTACAAATATATAAAATTTTTTTTGATATATAAAATTTGTTATATACAATTATTTCTATGTTATGAATTCGTGGATTTTCTTGAGTATGATTTTTGCGTGATAATATTCTTGATTTCTTAGTAACTGTTCCTGGTGGTAGATCTCCTCCTGTAGTGTGTGGTCTTAACACCGGTCAACATATGTTCCTGGATTCAAGCTCATTGTGTAACATTCTCTCCTTTAATATAGGTAAACTAAGATTCCAGGGTCCATCCTTCAATATAGGCAAACTAGGGTTCCAGGGCCCTAAACTTCCATATAGATAAAGGGCCCTAAACTTCAATATAGGTAAACTAGGATTCCAGGGCCCTAAACTTCAATATAGGTAAACTAGGATTCCAGGGCCCTAAACTTCAATATAGGTAAACTAGNTAAACTCCAATATAGGTAAACTAGGATTCCAGGGCCCTAAACTCCAATATAGGTAAACTAGGATTCCAGGGCCCTAAACTCCAATATAGGTAAACTAGGATTCCAGGGCCCTAAACTCCAATATAGGTAAACTAGGACTCCAGGGCCCTAAACTCCAATATAGGTAAACTAGGATTCCAGGGCCCTAAACTCCAATATAGGTAAACTAGGATTCCAGGACCCCTTTTTTGAATAATTTGGATTAATTGTCTTAAGTTTTTCACTGTCTCTATCGCTCAATTTTCAAAGACAACAAATTTAGGCCAATTGACTCATTAAAAATAAAAATAATGAATTGAAGTTCTAAATTCTAAATTTTATTCTAAAAATACTGATTATTATCAATAATAGGTTCTTTTGGGAACCTATCAGTAAAACATTAATTTGGAGCAAATATTTTACTATTGAGAATTTTTTGTTTAGATTCTGGTATAACAAGAACTAGAAGTTGGACAATAAAGGTTACACAGTATGAATGTGGAAACCCAGCTATAGAGACCAGTAAGTAGAAAAACAACAAAATGTAACTTTTTGATTTAAACAACTTTAATAATCAGTTAGGTATTTTAGTCAGTACACGGAATTGAGTCTTTGCAACAAATTCTAATTTTATAATCTCTATATCTATGCAACCTAGATATTTCAAACTATGCCTTCTTTTAGATAAACCAAATAAGTTAAAAATATGATAGGTTTACACTATCAGGTTGCAAAGATTAGATTAGAAAATTTTTATTTGTGGTAACAACTCAATTCCTTTATTCTAAAAAGGAAAGTAAAAATGTTCTGTGTCACATGGTAACCTGGAAAACGACGATATCTTTCTCATTTTTGACCTGGTCAAATTTCAAAGGGTAACTTAAACATGGAAATCTACAAAGAGAGAATCTTTGGAAATTATGTCTGCACAGTCTCTTAAAACGTAACTAGCTTTTTTTTATGCGTGCGAATAATATGCATATTGTAAAGGGTGAAAATTCCCAAAAGATGATTATAAAATCCGCAAATCAGCATTGTCAGACATACTCATCTTCCTCTCCTCACATACAGTTGTTATTCATAATGTATTTCAATTAGAAGCAATAAATGTACTTACAAAGTGGTGACCCCGGACAACATATATGAAACATGGCCAAAAAACACAGCACAAGATTTCATGTCAAGAATTTTTAAGAATTATTTTCTATTTCTAGATGATGATTGTTTACAGTACTACACTGGTACATCAGGAAGCTTCAGTAGTTTCAACTACGATACAACTGTATCTAATGCAGCAATGACAACTGCTAATACTCATCTAGCAAACCAGAACTATAATATCTGCTTCAGGTAACAGTACAACACCCAGTCACGTCAAACTAAACGTAAGTTTGATTATGTGTGTTGAATCATGTCTCCTCTTAAAGAGCTATTGAACAAGAAAAAACTGTTTTGAATTTTCCAGAGAAAAAAAAAAGATTAATTTATTTACCTTGTGCTTGTTCGTACAGTTCAAGAGCTAAAAGGTCACAAAGTCATAACAGAAATGTCGCATTAATTTGACTTTCTCCATTTGTTTAGTACAGTGTAACTAATGTTGACAAAAATTTTATTTAAAAATTCCTTTAAGGAATATCAAAATGGAGCATGCAATTATTCCTGTTTCCATATCTTGTGCAGTTCAAACATCTAAACACGTAGATGAACGCTATTTCTCACACAGTCTAATTCTGTGTGGGTAATCCTTTATTGCTGATAAAAATCTTAATTTAGACAAGAACGAGGGTTTTGTTCAATCTGTTTTAGCCCAGCAACTAATCCTGGGTCATCCTTCTCTATCAGGTGAAAATTCTAAATAAAAAAGAGAATTTCTGTTAAACGTCTAAAGTAAAAAAAAACTTTTAGAATTTTCCAATCTTCGGTATGGGACTAATAAAATAGGAATACGACGGTCGACTGTTATTTAGACTACAAAAGGTATTTTCAGCGTAATTTCAAGGGATCCTTCATGCAAAACTAGCAAAGCCCGAATTACAACGTTACACTTGCAATCTTAATCTGATCAAAAGTGAGAAAAGTCGTCTTTCTGACTAGAGAAGTGGTTTGCTCTGAAAATTTTAAGAAAAGTCACATCTGCAGAGAAACCAAAAATTAAAATAAACAGTTTAAAAACAAAAATATTGATATCTAATTCATGCTTGATCAGACAAAGCTTTCAAAGGTACCAGGGCCATCTTTGCATGGGAGGGTACCTTGACTTTACGCTTACAGTCCTTTTAAGTTATGATATTAAATATTTCAACAAATATGGAAATAAATTGAAATTGTGAAGTGTACACTCAGAACATATAACTTGATAAGGTGGCTTTTAAGATATAATAAAACTATATGCATCAAATACACATAGATTAATTAAATATAGTCTTTCTATTTCTCAGTTTTATGGGTCCCACTGTATCATTAAACATATCAAAAGCCTTGTTACATATTCTTGATCTACTTTCAGTGCATCGGCTGCTGCTGGAGCAGCACAATCAGGAGCTGATTCTGTGTGCTCAGGAGCACCTGGAGCAAAGGCAGATTATATAGAGGTAAGCACAATAAGGAGCTGATTCTGTAATCTGTGTGTTCCGGAGCACCTGGAGCAAAGGCAGATTATATAGTGGTAAGCACAAGCGGAAGCTGATTCTGTAATCTGTGTGTTCCGGAGCACCTGGAGCAAAGGCAGATTATATAGAGGTAAGCACAATCGGAAGCTGATTCTGTGTGTTCCTGAGCACTTGGTGCAAAGGCAGATTATATAGAGGTAAGCACAATCAGAAACTGATTCCATGTGTTCAGACGCACCTGGAGAAAAGACTGATTTTATAGAGGTAAGCACAATCAGGAGCTGATTCTGTGTGCTCGAGAATACCTGGATCAAAGGCAGATTATTTAGAGGTAAGCACAAGAAGGAGCTGATTCCATGTGTTCAGGGGCACCTCAACACACTTTCTGTTTCTGATTTGAATTGAATAATACTTTATAAATAGTTAAAGAAAACTGCGATGTTCAACCTCTATATGTGTGTCCTCATTATCAGTAAATCCTCATTGGAGAATTCATCATCACTGTGATTTAAAGGTCTCACGCTCTCAAGTTCTTAAAACCCAAAGCTAGCAATAAGCGCGTTATAGTGCTAAAATGTACATGTAAAGAGCTCCAGAAAAGTACAAGTCAGTTAGAGCGGTAAAATCAAAGCCCAAAACGTTGCGACACTTTAAAGTCGACCCTGTCTTTAACATTTATGAGACGTTTAATAAGCAGGGTTAATCTATGTATATATTGGTGTTTCTAATCTAATAAATGTTTACTTTTTCGCATGCAGAGAATGTCCATACAAATGATTAAAAAAGTCAAATAATATTTAGGTTTATAAGTAAAATATTCCAATTGCAGATTGTTATTTGAAAAATGTTAATATTAATACCTCTGTAAATTATGTATGGTACTGTATATAAATGTATATAATGTATTAATTGAACTAAGATAAAATAATAAAGCTGACGTTCATTTAAATTAATTTAATTAAAGAAAAATGTTAATATTAATACCTCTGTAAATTATGTATGGTACTGTATATAAATGTATATAATGTATTAATTGAACTAAGATAAAATAATAAAGCTGACATTCATTTAAATTAATTTAATTAAAGAAAATGTCGTTGTAATTTGATGACGTTTTTCTAGCTGGAAAAGTATTTTATTCTGATAATTCCTACATTGATATCCTGCAGCAGAAATGCAGAATTTACGTTTGTTATAGGGAAACCGCAATTGAAAATAATTAGTTTACAAAATTATAAACATGGTGATCTAAATAAAATTTGATCCGTTTTCTGGGTACTGTTGTGAATCGGTCACTCTATAAATGTCAAGGGTCACTTTAAGTTTTTTTTACAAATCCTTTTAATGTAATTGACTTTCTTTTTAAGGTAATGAACCTCGCCCCAGCTGCCACAGTGTCCACAGTTTTAAATGGGATTAATCGAGTTTGTGGAAACTTCTTCAATGCTAACGTAATTTTGTTTTCGAATTTTTTAATTTATTTTTACTGTAAGTTTCATCAACTTTTTTTCAGGGCCAGACGACTTCAACCACTCTTTGCAGTAAGTACAATATAGAGAAAACCAAGGAAAATATGAGGTTGACCTGAAAGTTTTTAAACTATCCTGAGTTTTATGATTTTCAGAGTAAAAAATATGAAAAAAAACGTCAGGAAGTAGTCTAAATTTTATCTATTTTTTATTAATTCTGAGGCCGAATTTAAAGAATTTGAGCCGTGGTTTAATTTTGAGCCACGGCTCAAATTTTGATGGTTCCACTTAAATTTGTATTAAATTTTTCAAGATTGAAGCCGGCGCTCAATTGAAAATGGTTTTTGGGGGGATTTGAGACGGGACTTAAATTCATTAAATTCGGACACTGGTCTAACAGAAATCAACTGATTACTCGCGTGAAACGCTGATTTTCTATGCAACCTGAGCATAGATCTTTCTTATTTCAATCTGAGAAATCTGCTGGATCAAACTTGCAAAGTTTGAAATATCAAAGATTAAAATCACAAGGTTGCAAAAGCATACATGTACAAATTAAAAAAGTTCATTTTTAGTACAGCAATCGATCATCTTTTATTGTATCATATTTGTTTATATTTTTTTATTAAAATTTTTTTAAAATAGATCTTTTTGGCTAGGCGCTCACGTTCCCTTCCGGTGGGGTGTACACTTCGACGACGGCGAAGCAGTTGCAGCATCCGCCGGGGTTCTAGATACGGCGGAGAATGCAGACGGGGGCGGAATGATTGGGTTTAATATGAATTGGTTTTTAAAAGCATGCTAGTAGTTTAGGGGGGAAAAGTATTTTTATTTCTATGGCATGTTGTCACTTTTTAAACAGTTTGGAATTCTGTAGAACGATTTAAAAAGTATGAAACCAGAAATCTAGGAAAAATCGAAGAGATTGTACTTTTATTCTAAATAAAAAGAAAAAAAGAATTTTGTTATACATTAATTTAATCTTTTTTTAGAAATGTTGCGTAAAAATCAGCTTCATTAACTACTTCGACAATTAAAAAAACTATAACTTTTATAAACTTAAGAGTTGTTGCTGAAACTAGACGGAGCGATCGCATTAAACTTTTAACTTTTTTATTTATTATAATATTTATTCTCGGCATAAATATTAGTCTTATAGGGCACATCGTGCCATTAGCACATTATAAAAAAAATATATGTAATATTTAGAAAATTTTCCTATTTTGAGGGGATTAAAAACACTTATAAAATGTAAGACCCCACAAAAACAATTGAGCCAAATCGGTTCAGCAGTTTTTGCATTTATAGGGTCCGAACAAACAAACGCTGGGTAAATAGTGCAAGAAACTATCGATAAAGCAAAAAAAAGCTTTAAAAATGTAACTCAAATAAATCCCCCCCTCTCAGCTCTCCAAGGTTTATCAGTTTACAGTTTGAGCCTAGGTGCTAGTATTGCCTGTATATAACAACTCAAGAATTAAATATTTCTCTCATTTTCCATCTGTTGTCTCCCTGCATACACTGGGTTGAAAACAAAGTTACATCATGAATAGAGCTCGGTGAGCCTAACCGAATGTGTAACCTGGAGTGTGACCTGTAGTATTGTAGACCATCATAAATTCTTACCATTGAACTTGAAAACCAGCTCTGCCAGTTGTAGAAAATAATTAGCAAAAAAATGTTATAAAATTTAAAAATTAATTTGAAAAGTAACGGTTGAACCTAAAAGGCTCCGGTGTTAACGTTTGGAGTAATAGGTGTAATGTACTAGAAATTGCAGGCGAGCTCCGCCCCCCTATTATGAACTATGGGAGTTGTACTCTTAGCATATTTAAGTAAACTATTAGTATCAATTTTATTTCTTTATTTTCCTACATAATAAAGTTTTTCGCTGTATATATATATATATATATATATATATTTATTTATTATTAAATACATGTTAGCTATAAGCCTGTAGCTGGCCAAACGGATGCACTGAATTAAATTGGCTGAATTTGTTTGAGGGGGGGGGGGGTAATATAGGCTAAAAAAAATTAAACTCCAATTTGTTTTTTCAAACTTTAATTTTTATATTTCACTGGCAAAGCCGCTCCGAGCACTTCAGCTAGTCTATGTATAAGATACTCCATGAAGCAATAAATGGTAAAAAAAATGTAAAAATTTTGTTTAAATATAAATATGTCTGTATCTAATTGTAAAATGTTTAAAAATGAACAATTTTTTTTTTGTATAGTTCCTTTCAAATCATATATTTTTTTACGTCGCGATATAAATTGAAATAACTCCCCCCCCCCCTCCCTTTTAGTACAAGAAAAGAGGACTTTTCTATATGTTTTATGATCTTGAATACTAACAAGTTTAATTTTATTGTTTGAAATGTTGTAATAAAAATACTGTATTTATCTAATATAGTTGTAATCAGTTTATGTCATTTACAGAGTTACAGAGATTACTTCGCTGGATATTAGAGGGGGGGGGGGGAGATTATGGATCAAAACCCCTAACATTTGTATCGTAATAACTAATTTGGTTCAGCATTTAAAAATGCTGAATAAAATGTTATTTCTGATGGATTCTGATTGGGAGATCAAAATGACAGGGTGTATGGATCCACTTTGTTGTAGTTAGTTTGACGTGTGACATCATCATGATGTCAGGGTTTCTTAACCCTAAACAGGCTGGGGGGGGGCGTTTGGCCCCCCCCTGTAGTTGTTTTGTCCTAGCACTCTCATTTTTGACACTATCACCGGGAAATATTGTGACTTTTAATGAAAAGATTTAAAGGATTTTTTGTTAACAAAATATTTTTATTTTATTTTATAGGGTAGGTACAGGGCGGAAAAAAGTCCGGTTTGTGAAAAAAAAATCTAAAATAGCCCATAACTTGTGACTAAAGCTACAGATCTAAAAACTATATTTTAAATTCCATTGAAAAATGCATGCAGAAACATATGTGACACTTTGATATTTGTTTAAAACAAAAAAAATGTTTTTTTTTCAATTTTTTTACCCTTTTTTAGGCATTTTTTTCCACCCTCACTAGCACCAAACTATTAAAGTTATCGGTCTAATTTTTTTCCTTTGTGCTGGCCATGAAAAATTGGGCTATGAACATGCATTTCAACCCTATACCTATTCTTTAAGGCCTTTTTCTAAGGGGGTGCGCCAAACGCCCCCCCCCCCCCAGGCTATACATACACCTTGACCCCCAGCCTTTATAGGGTTAAAATATTTGAGTTACTTCTAAATTAACAGCAAACATATATTCTTTAATTTGCATTAAGTGACTGTCTGGCGTGATTTCAAGTGACCCCAAATTTACAGAGTGGCATGTCTTATTCACCAAGGTACCATTTTTACTGTTGTCTGAGTGAAATAATTGAATTATTCCTCTTATCTCCATCTTAAAAGTGATTATTATGTCATAATTCTACACTTTTCCAGATGATAAACGGTCGAGAGGATGATATCACTTTAAATTTCATCTTTAATCCTTATGTGTATACACTCGGTTAATGACTGGAGTTCAAAAGTGGAGTTAAAGTCGAGTTTAAGTGGAGTTTTGAAGTGGAGTTTTGAAATCCAAGTTTTCATCTTGACTTGGTAAAAACTGGGATTCAAAAAGTCGAGTTTAAGTCGAGTTTTTTTCACCCAGATTTCATCCAGTTGCTGACTGGAATTCAAAAACGGAGTTTAAGTCGAGTTTAAGTGGAGTTTTGAAGTGGAGTTTAGGACAACTAGTTATCATCTAGTTGTATCCTCCAGTTGTGTTTCCTGGGTACTTACCTAAATATCTAGGAGATATATGAAGGTCAAATACATACAAGATCTTAGACATGTATATATTTGTACATATACCATCTGTCTAAACATATGTAGCACATGCAGTTCAAAAATAGTTTAATTTGCACTGTGCAGTATATGTGCATTGTGCATTGTGCACTGTGTATTACAGTGCACATAATAATCGTTATGAAATAGGGTTTTTTTCATTATCTTTTTTAAAGAAAGAATTCATATCATTTTCATCATCTTACACTTTTATATCTGTTTAAGAAATGTCGATGTTCTTTCATTTTCTTCGTAACAATAAAGAACATATCGTCGTTATTCAATCCTGAAAATAGATTAATTTTGTCATTTCCTTCCTTTTTCTGTTCTGCTTAAATCCGCAAGACTCCATAGTAGAAAATCTGCAATTAAGATTAATCAGTTTTCGGAAATAAAAATAAGGAAAACTCAATCATATTTGTTAGATAAAGGTTTAAATTGTGAATCAGACACGTAACTTTTTTAATTGAGGGTCATTGGATCGAACATACCCTTTGAGAATTGGGAGAGGGGGGGGGTTTCTTTTGAATATAAGGGGGAAGTTAGGAATGTTAAATTCTGTGAAAAAAAATATAAAAGATTTCAGATCTGGGAGATAAATTCAAAACATAAATATTTAATTCGATACATTTGCGTGGGAGACATGTTTCATATTCTTTTAACATTTTTACATTTTAACATCTATCTATCTATCTATCTATCTAACTATATATTTATCTATCTATCTTTCTATCTATCTATGCTTTTTAACATTTAGTTTTAAATTTTAATTTTAACAAATTTTTAAAAGAGCAATGAATTTTTTTCTCTGGTTGGTTTATCTTCTTTTTAGCATACATCTATATTCTCTTGAAGATCCACGTATTCTAATCCCTTGTAGACAAGGGAAAAATGTATTTTGTTTCTTTCTAATATAACGCATATTGCCCAGCTATATCTATCCATCTGTCTATCTATCTGCCTATCCTTCTATCTATTTCTCTATCTATCTTTCTTTTTATGTATCTATCTATCTATCTATATATTATCTATCTATATATCTATCTATCTATATATCTCTCTATCTATCTTTCTATCTATCTATCTATCTATCTATCTATATATCTATCTATCTATCTATCTATCTATCTATCTATCTATCTAACTATCTATCTATCTATCTATCTGTCTATATATCTATATATCTATCTATCTATCCATTTATCTATCTATCTATCTATCCATCTATGAATCTATCTATCTATCTTATCTATCTATCTATCTATCTTTCTATCTACCCATATATATTTCTATCCATCCATCTATCTATCTTTCTATCTATCCATATATATTTCTATCCATCCATCTATCTATCTATCTATCTGTCTATATATCTATCTATCTATGAATCTATCTATCTATCTATCTATCTATAACCCCCATAAATCTGTAGGTTAGTTTGAATGGTGTCAACAGTACTAAAGCAACCTATTCTGACAAGGTGGGTAAACCAAACTCAATATTACAAGGACACTTTAAAAAAAAAAGTTCGACCCCCCCCCACTGCCAAAAAAAATTTACTTGTATTTCTTAAAAATCGGGGATTTACAATTTTGTTTTAATTTTTTAGATCTTTTCTTTTAACCTAAATTTGACGGTTAAAAAAACTTAATGCTTCTAAAATTAATTTTTTTAAATTTTTTTTTATTTTGCATGTTTTATATATTCTTTAGTACAGGTTACCCGCCCCTTGAATTACAAGCATAGTGAAGTATTAGAGCAGAAAAATAAAGTGCACAGATACCTGACTTTCTAAACGTTTATTTATTAGTCTAAATATATTTATATACATCTATAAAATATATATTGTAGACTTGATGTTTACAGATTGATACAACATTCTTGAGAATATTTAATTTTCTTCCTTTCAAACTGTCAACATAATTCTTTATGGTTTTATTTTATGTTTTAGTTTCTTCAGATTGTGTGGATGTTTTTGCCATCAGGCTTTGTGCAGGTTTCTCAGTTCCTTCCTCACTCGACGGAAAACGACCTCTCATGTCTGAACCATCCATGCCTGAACCATCAGAGGTATAAGTAACCTCGATCTCCTATCCTATGTAAATATAATATTTTATGTAAGTCGCATCTCTTTATAACTGTTACAGTTTGGTCAACCATACAATATACAATATACAATATACAATATACAATATACAATATACAATATACAATATACAATATACAATATACAATATACAATATACAGTAAACAATATACAATATACAATATACAATGTACGATATACAATATACAATATACAATATACAAAATACAATATACAATATACAAAATACAATATAAGTAGAATTGATTTATTTATTATTTACAAACTAAGCCCATTTCTAGTATACTATAATACCATTCTGGACTTACTTTTGGGGTCAAATAATTTGATTTAACTAAATAAGTTTGAATTGAACAATTGGAAATGTAATCAGTGACCAAATTTAGTAAATAGTGAGAAGAAGTTAAAGTTAGTAGACTAAGTTGAACCGCTTATCTTCAACTTGAACCGTGGTTCAACTACGTCTACGTAGTTTAACTTAGTCCGGTCCCAGATGAATTATTAAAAAATCAACATCTTTCTTCAAAACTAGTGAAACTTTCCCAGGATGTTAAAAATGAACTGAAAAGTTGAATATTGAACTAGATTCTTGTTAAATGATGCCAACTTAGGAAATGGCTTGGAAAGGTATGGAGGGGGGGGGGTGGAAGAACAGGGGAGGGGAGAAGAAAGAAAGGGGGTTAAGTGGGGTGGAGTATTGAAAGTATGTATGAAAATATTTAAAATCACATAAAAAGATTTGCAAAATTGAAATTCTCACATATTTAATAAAGTCGAAATTCTATTGTTGAATTCCCATGAAAGAAATCAGATTATTAAAGTTAAATAAAGATATCCAAAAATTCAAATTTACAGGTATCCAAATATCCAGATTTAGAGATATCCAAATATCCAATTAAGAGGTATCAAAATATCC